GACCTCCTGAGGTAAATGGAGCACCGCTTCTATGTAGCTATGTCATGAGACTCAGCATCAGTTCCAGTTAGAATTATTCTGGTCTTTCTGAAACCCAACAGGATGGTTTTGGTTGTCACTGAAATCCAGGCTTTGTCAATCCATCCAGTGACTTCCAAGAAAGTTGCATGTGGCACCCTCCTGATTACCATGAACCTGTGTTCTCCATCCCTGCTTTCCGCCAGCCCCTCACAAGTTTCTCGCTCACTTCAAACTTTCTATCTGCTGCTTGATTACCGTTTTTGGCTGCATATTTCACTACAGAAGGGCGCCAAGTGACAGTTGATACAGTATTAGCAGACACTGGCACACAACCCTAGAGCACCCTCTCGTGGCTGTCAGTGTGAAATAATATAATATATAATATATAAGTTGCACCGAAGTATAAGCTGCAGGACCACCCAAACCATGAAAAAACGTGTGACTTATAGTCCAAAAAATACGGTAATAATATTTTGTGAAAGATTGTAATTATTGTACTCTAGGCTCTTTCTCCCTCTTTTTATGACAATTTTTAGAGAATAAGAACTTGCACACTACGCTAAATACACAAAAAATAGATTTGGAAAGCATTAAAGACCTAAATACGAAATTGTTGGCATTGATAGATAGTTCACTAGTTCAATAACATAATTTTTTCAGTAAAAAGACAACTAAAACCATAAAGTAAGTCACTTAAATGCAGGTAATTTGATTATTAAACTTGATCACAGATACAGTACTTTAGTAGGGCACTCATAGACCCATTTCCCGATCTTGTTGCTTGTCTTGGTCAGGACTATCTTAGCTGGAGGATTGTACCTGTTGTGCGTGTTTTGAGTTACATACAATGGTGCTTTATTTGCACTTTGTGTCCTGTCTTCTTTCTAAGTAAGAGCACTTTTTCTTTGTCCATGTTGCAATGCAGGTGCAATACAAAGAGTGCGCATTCCTCCTCTGAGCCATTGTGCTGCTGTAATGGTGCTGTAAGACCTGGACCACACGAGTCCATAAAGACCTGGGTCATACAAGTCCATAAAGACCTGGACAACACGAGGCCTTAAAGCTGCCAGAATACATGGAGTCTTTGTTGACAGTGACAGCAGCTCATCCCCACATAGTGCAGCTGTTGTGCTGTTTTGAATAGTCGGATGTTGTTGTTTGGGGGTTGTTTTCAGATTCAAAAATACAATGGTGTCTCTCTGGCTGGCATTTCTGTATAAAATAGATTGTATTCTAAAATTGTAATTTCATATTTTCACACAGAAAAATCATGAAATATTCAGAAATGATACTCAAAGTAGGGACCAAAAATGACATTTCCTTCAAACAATTACTAAATATGTCCAAATGTGTTATAAAAACTTCAAATAACCACTTGAGGAATGCAAGTTCAAAAAGTATGAGAAGTTCTAGGCCAGTGTTTCTTTTTTTTTCTGGGAGACCCATATTTTAAAAGTCACAAACCTTCTCGATCCAAGTCAATAGACATTATTCGTAAACAAAATAAAGGGGGATTTGACCATTATCGAAAATTAATGAGGATGTTTTATTGTTGACTAAGTGATTGTGTCTCTCTGAACAATTAGTATTACTCAAGTTTTAAACAATGAAAAACTGTAATTGAACCAGCAATAAAAGGATCCATAAGTCGCCTATTTGGACATTAAATGTAGCCCCTTTCTTTTCAACATTCAATTGAACCAGCAATATTGGAACAAAATAGTCAATAAAATAATTACAAAAAGATTAGAAATTATACACAACATGTCTTAACATTTCAACATTTCTAATGAGATAGGTGGGCCTGTCTGCGTTTTTGTAACGTGTCCAGTCCGGGGTGCAGGAGGAAAGCACAACAACAGATCAGTGTCAGAGCTGTATGTTGTAGACCTTCTTGCAGATCGTGACAAGGCGACCCAAAAAAATTCTCTTGCGACCCACCTGAGTGTTGCGACCCAGTCTTTGGGAAACAATGTTCTAGGCCTACATCATAAATAGTCTTATTACCTACAATTACAGGCTAAACCAGGAGAGGAGCTAAACCCTTTTATTGAGGTCGATGCTTATAGTGCCTCCGCTCAATCTCATTTCTCTCCAGTGACTAGGTCAGGAATTGGAATACACTAGACGGTTTGCAAGAACCTTGGAAGTGTGAGTCCAGGCACCAGCCAATCAGCGAAGAGCCATACATTCTGTACTGGCAACAATTCCTGAGATCGAGGATTTAAAGCCAGAACAAAGAGAATGTTTGGTGAATTTTATCAAGGGGAAAGATGTTCTTGCCCTTCTTCCTACGGGATTTGGGAAAATATACCAGTTAGCCCCGTTAGCAGCGCATTACATACATCATGACCAAAGAGCAGCGTTTGGTTAAATGAAAAAAAGTTCCCACCTACCATCGAGCGAACGAAATCTAATGCTGCAAGGTCACACGGTTTTTACGAACTGATGAATCAGGCTAGATATTTGATACCAGTACCAATGTAAGTACATCCATATTTAAAGGTTGGATATCTAACCTATGCTGCCAGTGCTTTAACCTACATATAATAAACACATGCAAGTTTTTCTCATTCTCAGTGGACACGCCATGCTTCATGTGGAAGCTGAGAACCCAGCTCCCTCACTAAGCTGCAGAGGCGGCACTAGCACAGATTCATGATTGGCTGCGTGTGCTGGGGGTTAGGCAGTAGGCTATTAGTTAGATAGGGTTAAATACATTTCCTCTTTTCACAGTTTGAAAATCAGATGCTCAAGCTACAACATTCATTCATCTGTACTTATCTCAATTTAAAAACATGCTGGGCTATAAGAACCCTATGAATCAGTATAGGTTCAACCAGTGACATTTGCATTGTTATGAATTTCTTTTATATGATTGTCTCTTCAGACCTGTAGAGATGTTTGTGAATGTCCCTTTGTTCCACCTCACTATAGCATATAAACTCTGAAATATAAATCCATTCTGTGAAGGTTTCTGTGCTGCCATGAACTCATTGCCATATTCAGGTTGGGAGCCATTTGCAGTCTGAATGGAACTCAACTTTTGTTACTTTTCTCAACACAACAACATCATTTATTTCAATCAAGCAGAATATTTTAGTTTTGAGGCTTCAGTGGTCCATTTCCTGTCACTGTATTCAGTGATGGTTTCTGAAATCATCAACAAGGTACATCACAATCTCACCCATTTCATGATAATTGGCAGCTCTAAAATGGTGCCAAGGTGCTGAGTGCAAAGCTAAATGGAAGAAAATAGTCCAAATCTAGACTTCAACTTCTACATCATCTGTTCTGTGGTAAATACATCAGCTGCAAAACAATTTTGCAATGAAGTGTGTAAAGTACTGCACTTAAGTATACATTTTATGTATCTGTACTTTACTTTTTAAAGTGAATACTTTTTACTTTTACTTCACTGCAAATAGAAACAGCTAGGAAAAATAAAGATACTGACTATTAAATTCTTTGTACTCTTTCAACATTTTCAAACTTCAAATATATTTGTGGGAAACACTCAAGTATATTGTGTAAATATATATCCACATACATCCATCTATTTTCATTGTAACACAGTAGTCTGTTTACTGAGGGCCACAGTAGCTTAGATGGTGTTTATCCACTGATCCAAAGGTTGCTGGTTCAAATTTCACTCTCAACATAAACATCACTGGTTGAGCGGTGAGATCCACTGATCCACAGCTTGGCAGCGTGATTCCACCTCCCACAGATGAATTCTGTTGTCATTAGACAAGAAACCGTCCTCACCGTGTGTGTGTGTGTGTGTGTGTGTGTGTGTGTGTAGGTGTGTGTGTTGTGTGTGTGTGTGTGTGTGTGTGTGTGTGTGTGTGTGTGTGTACACTCTATGAATGTGTTTGAATGGGTCTTTGAGTGAAAGAAAGACTTGGACACAGCCACTTTGAGAGACTTGCTCAAGGACACATAGGCAGTGAGTATGCCGTTCAGGTAGCATCTCCATTTTTTTTTCTCTACACCTAAAATATTAATAATGATGGTACACACCTATAGCCAGGCTGGTGCCACCTAGTGCCTCCGCTCAATTTCTTTTCTCTCCAGCTACTAGGTCAGGAATCGGAATACATTAGACGGTTCGCAAAAACCCTGGAAATGCGAGTTCGGGCACCAGCCAATCAGCGAAGAGCCATACATTCTGTGTTGGCAACGATTCCCGAGATCGAGGATTTAAAACTGGAACAAAGAGAATGTTTGGTGAATTTTATTAAGGGGAAAGACATTACTGTCTACTGCCTGGGATTTGGGAAAAGCTTAATGTACCAGTTAGTGGCGCATTACATATGTCACAACCAAGTAGGAGCGATTGGTTAAATTTAAAAAGTACCCATCTACCATCGAGCAAACAAATTCTAACGCTGCGAGGTCAGACAGTTTTTACGAAGTGAAACCAGCTGATGAATCAGGTTAAGGTATCTACACATGTACTGCAAATACCTAGTTTATTACACAATATAATCATAAATAGAATTTAAAAATAGGAGTTTTTCTTTCTAAGCCAAACCACAGGGGTCCCAGTTTATATCCAGTAATTGACATGGTTACCAAGAGCATGCATCACCGCTACAAGGATCGCAAGCTTGTGTATTGTAGAAAGCTTGGTCTAGCTGCTATCTTATATAAAATAATGAGAATGTTACATAACTCGTGCATTTGAAGTCAGTCTACTGCCAATCTATCTGCGCTCCATTCAAACATCTCCTCACATCAGTGCCTTGTGACTGTGCCCGTTACCAGGAAACCCCACCAAGCATTTCACCATTGAGGAACAGTGGCCTTTTGGAAAATAGAGCAAGCCAGGAAGAATATTTTAAGATAAGATAATGCTATGGGGGTGGTGGACTGGCTGAGTCTCATCTAAGTTCATGGTTCAGTGCGATATACAATAAGAAGAGCATTGCAATTTGTAATCAAAAGGAAAGAAAAAATTATAAACTGATTCAAAATTAGGGTTGCAACAGTGATTATTTTAGTAGTCAATTCAATTCAATCTTTATTAAGAACACGTAATATCTGGTTCACAGTATTAAAAAGAAAATAGTAGGAATAAAAAAGTTAAATACAGTGCATGTTATAATGTATACAGACAAGACCGCCAGTGTCTCCACAGCTTAGAGGTGAATCTGACAGAGCTCCTCACAGGACACACTAGAGCTTCAATGATTTGATTGCTCAGATTCATGGCTCTACACATAAGTGAATAAATACAGCATCTGATTGTGACAGCACAAGGTCTCACACCACAGTTTACAAACATTTCACTGGCGCTACAGAATCTCAGCACTTTCAGTGATATTCTCAGAGAGTCATTATAGGCCACTGTCAAACTCTGCAAACTCTTTATCTTGTAGTTGCGCCAAAGATGCGCAGTATACAAGGGTGAGCAGAAACATTTAAAAAGTTTCTGCTCACTGTAATTTTTCAAGTGGATTATTTATTTTGCACTTTGATATTTTTCAATATATATTTTTAACAAATTGAAGGTGAAAATATAGTGGGCAGCAGTTAAAAAATGTTAAACTTGATTTCGATACTAAGGAATAGGATACTCAGTACCGATTCCACAATGATAATTAAAAATGCTCTTTATTGAGACAATAGAATGTGATTTTTAACATTAAATAATTGTAGTTTCTTTGATAATCCGATGTGGTCTTTGCAATTTTTTTCTTTTAAAATGTCTTGACAAGATCTTAGTGTGAATCATTATGGTCAGAACAGAAAGAATTCAGATTTAAAAGTGCTTCTCAAGTCTTCTCAAGTCACAAGGCTCAAGTCCAAGTCGAGTCCCAAGTCTGAGTCCATTTTATCAAGTCAAGTCTCAAGTCCTAAAAATAGTAACTCAAATCTGACTCGAGTCCAAGTCACGACTTGCAAGTCCCCATCTCTGGTGAAGGTACACAGACTTTAAAAACACAGTGGAGCATTCACAGTATTACCAGTTAATGACAACACAAAGTGAAAACAGAGCATTTCAGTTTGAAAAAGAAACTAGATATGCAGGATCTGGAGTTAAACATGTGTGGATAAAACAGAACTCAACTCCGTGTATGTTTGTGGTGAGAAAACATTATAACCTAGATAAAATATTGTGCAATAGGCCTTTTAATGCAACAACAACAACAGCAAAATACATTTCACCAGTCGAGCCACATCTCAAAAACCTCTCAGTTTGAAAAGTAGGTCAGTCGAAACAAGTGAGCGAATCTGCTTTGCTTTCCCCGTACTATTCTGTCTCTCTTTTCAATGTCATTTTTATGTGTGAAGAAGTGGGACAGAAAATGGTCTTACGGATTCACCTGCATGTGCTCTAAACATGCACTGTACGTCAAGTGCATAGATACACGCAGTACTTTGCGGTTCAGAAATACCGGCGTACAATTCCAAACTCCCTTTTTCTCCAGCGCTAAAACCCTCTTCACTTAGCGCGCCATTCAGAGTGTATCTAAAAGCTCATCAGATGGACTTGAACGAGATTGGAAGATGGAAAAAAAAAAAAAAAAGAAATTATAGGAGGGAAATCAGGCATAATGCGAGCGCTGCGGTGTTTCCACAGATCGCCATAGCAACCAATAAGACTACTTTTGTTGCGGGGTCCAAGTGGTTTAGCGGGGATGCAATTTGTGCTTTCAGAGAGGAACAACAACAAAAAAAACTGCTCTGAATGCTTTGATTGTGTGTAAGAGACAGTAGCTGACAGTTAGCAATATGTGGCTGTTGTGGTTTTGCCCAGAATGTCCCACAGTGAGACATTAAATTTATCTATCTTATGTTTAATCAAGCACATGTTTTTATTGCTTAAAAATACCTTAAAAAACATGCAACTTCAGATGGCTGATCAGGCTATAGGTGCTAGAAATACTGATTGGGATTGATTTTTTAAAAGTATTTTTGTTTACATTATTTCTTGTCTTATGCTTTAACCATTACCGTCCATAAAACCATCGCTATCATCACACCGAACCAGTGCACGATGAGGCTTTCTGCTCTGGAAAAGGTTAAAGTTCTCACTGCAGCAACCGCCGGATAGAACATGTCAATTCTAACGTGCATCCAGAGTGAACATGTATACACACTGGAGTAGGATGGATCCTTTCTTAACCTTCATGGTGCTAACAACAGTGAACAGTCCTTTCTCGTTCTCTGTCACAGTTGTAGTGGCCAGGTGAGAAATGCTGTCGTCGTTTCCCTGTTTCCATGAGACTCCCGATCTGGGGAAGACATCTTCGAAAATGCAGGTTCCATCAGTTGAATTCACTCTTACTGTACTTTTACCAACACACTCTGAAAAATGCAAAAAAGAGTCACAGGTCAGATGCTGTCACTACGTTTACTTGTATTCAAGGAAAACTGAATAATTAGCCTAGTCCAATTTAAAGTGTTTTTTTCAAAATGCAATTGTTCCTGCCCCTGATGGGTGATTTGTGAGCTATCACTATACTCTGATGATCCCTTTCTTTATTGCACTGATACTCACTATTTTTTTCACTAGAGCCACACTGGAAGAGCAAAATCAAGAGGAGAGCCACTTACTCACCTTTGCAAATGTGCATTTCTACCATTTCTACATGTCTACAAACTGGACATCCCACAAAAAAGAAACACAGCCAATTCATTTTCAGTTAAAACCATATTTACCTGAGCGGAAGCTGGCATGCATGTCCTTCACTTTCTTCATGTTCATTAACGTTTTTATATTAAAATTATCATCATTATTATTACTATTATTAATCTGCATAAATAAACTCAACTTTACTCAACTCAACTAGAGCCACATTAGCCCGTTTGAGATTATAATGTGTTTGATGCAGCTCTGACACATTTGTTTATGTTTTACAGAAACGATGATGAAAACAACTCGCTCCTTGTGCGCTGATGCGGTTCAGCTTCTGTCGGACAAAAGGTCACGACTCAGTGGGATATGAGTGTTCTCTCTGTGACAAATGGATGTTGATGATGCTGATGGTGAGTCTGTTCTGTGTGTGTGTGTCGTGTTGGAGATGGTTCATGTTTTCAGACATCAGACGTGTGCGCAGCTCTTTATTTAATGCTCATTTAACTCACTTTATTTATGTTGGTCACTTTATTTAGATGATGTTAATCAAGAGCATGGGCTACTTTTTAAAATGCGGGTCAGGTAGCGGGTCGGGTACAGTATTTTCTAATATTTTTTTGCAGTCGGAGTTGCAGGTGGGTTAGTTGAAAGCGTCGGTCGGGTACTGGTCGTTTATACGTGGACCCGCCCGTCACTGGTTGCAGGTGTCATGGCGCCCCCTTTAGGAAACACTATTAATGAAGCCTTGATATATACTTAGTGTAATGCAGATGTTTGTGTTGCGATGATCACTATATGTTTATCTAGCACATTTGAAAAATATATTGGCTGTGTTACTGTTTTTGCGAGCCACCAATTAAAGCAATAAGTGTCCCTGCTTTATTGGATAACAAAGACAGTTGTGACATTTCACATCACATAAAGTCCTCTAGTTAATTTTGTCTCGATCAAGCCTATCTCAAGACCTGGACATGGGTCCCCAGGCACGGCACTGCCCTCAGATTGCCCCATCGACATTTAAGGATGGGTCAAATACACACACTGCAAAAAACAACATCTAGTCAAGTTAAGATAACTTGAATTAAGAAAGTTTTACCATGATTTGAGTAAATTTCACTTGACAAGTAAAACTATCTACTAAGGGAACAAGACTTTTTGGACTTAAAATATGAAAATGCATCTTGCTACACTTAAAATAAGAAAAACAACTGAATGCTGCTTGAATTAAGAAAAATACACTTATTCCATTGGTAGATAATTTGTCTTGTCAAGTTGAATCTACTCAAATAAAGTAGATATTATTTTTCTTAATTTAAGTCATTTTTAACTTATCTAGATATTATTTTTTTCAGTGCAGGGTGAATTTCCCTATGGGGCAATAAAGTGTACACAAACCAACTGTTAAAAAAAAAGTTTGCTATGTAAGAATGAAGCTTAGAAGAGGCTTTCTTGTTGTGTTCACCAGAAACACAGTATATGCTTCTGTAACTAAATTTGGAAATTTCCTTGGTATCAATAAAATCTCTCTATTTTCAGGTAGATTTAAGGCAGTTCTTACAAAATCCTGTCAGAAATAAAGAAGCCTCTTGGATGAGTGGCCCAGTGAATTCACTTTTCACTCCACTTGACAGTATTCTGTTTTCACATATTGCATATTGTGGTACTCACTGTGAACTTGAACAAAGGTCTTGCCGTTTCTTGACCCTTGTTTGGAGTGTAGTTGGCAGTGGTAGGCCCCCGTGTGTTTGGGCTGGATATTGTAGATGGTCAGGGAATAGTTGTAGCTGTTTGTGGAGGTTGCAGTCATGCATTGCATATCTGTTCGATTTGTTGGTTGGCCCCAGTTGCAAATATCTTTACTGTCCTTCCAGCTAAATTCTGTGATATCTAGAGCGCCATCTGTGGTCACGTTGCATCTTAGAACGACATTGTCTCCGCAGGTTGTCATAAGTCCACGAATAGTGTGCATTTTAAGGTTCTCTGGATACAAAAAAGAAACTTGTTTATTACAATGACAGGAAAAATAAAAGAGAATGGGAATGGATCTTACCCGCTGCACTGAGAGTAGAAAGGACACTCAAGAGTCCAAATAGGCCAAAAGGGTGAAACCTCATAGAAGCCATTACTCTAAAATAAAACAGATAAAAAAATACAATGATAAAAAACATTAACGTGAATATGACAGATAATATCAATTTAATACAACCATTAACCATTGCAATTAGATCTCCACTAAAAATCATGTTTCATTCACTTTTCTACAGATTTAAGACGTTTTATCTACAGCAATTGTGTATATCTTTTTTACAATAGAGTTGGTTTGGATTCTTTATGTTAAGAAATAAGATTTTTACTGACACAAGTTTCACCATTAGAAACACCTTCATTAGCTCTAATGCGCCCCCAGCTGGCTGCCAACGTCACTGCACGTTTGCCCATCAAAACAGATTTAAACTAATAATTTGTGAATGAATGATTCACATCAATGGTAATAATAGTTGTCTGCCACTTTTTGCAATAAAAAAAAATCATTACCAGTGTAAATGTTTATTTTGTAGTTTTCATTGGATTTTGACTTACTGAACTTGTGAAAGATTATTCTTTCTTCGCTGTTTGTATTAATAAAATTGTCAAAGAAGGGAAGTAAAGTCTGTTGTCTGAAGCAGTGGCCATGATGTATAGAGGTAATTTGATAATTGTTGACACAATAATTATGATTAGACTGAATTATGAATTATGATTAGACAAATTGAAATCAGTTACAACACATTTATTTTGATAAATTATATATATTTTTTAAACAAAGGCATTTTGGATAGAATTTTTGGTATTTATGAATTATAGGTAGAGCTATTCTCTTTTAGAATTTGTTTATACCTAAAGTTACATATAAAACATGATTAAACTTATGGTACATTTTTAATATTAATGGAAAGTTTTAAAATCATGTTTCTAAATTGAAGTTTTCTTCCTTCTCACCTTCAACATGTCATAAGTTAATTTTATCACTTTTTGAGAGTTAATTTTAAAATCTTTACATAGAAAATACAAGATTACAACCCACCTGTCTTTGGCAGTTTCTTGGTCCAATTCAAATGCAGTTGTTGCAATACAGGAAGTACGACAGAATGACTCTTTTTAGGGCAGGGCTAAAAAGGTACTTTCCGTTTTCCCAAGCATTCAGCCTCAGACAAGCCCAGCTCCTGTAAACTGGTTTGTGTGGATCATGTTGAGTCTTGCACCATCCATTTTCTTCCGCTTATCCAGAGCCAGGTCATGGGGGCAGCAGTGTAAGCAGGGACTCCCAGACTTCCCTCACCCTAGACACTTCCTCCAGCTCTTCCGGTGGGACGTAAAGGTGTAACAAATAGTTTTACCACCAGGTCACACCAAAGAGAGCCATGAGTGAGATTCCCACAAATGAGATATTATTAAGCTACTATAAGACTGGGTTAACTAAAGACATTCAGGTATGTTGTAATGAGGAGACCAAATATACAGTGAATCAGAAGTAGTATTTTGAGAGATACAGATTTGTGCTGAATTTTGTGCAGCAGAAACATTTGAATACATTTTTTTCTACCTAGTTTTATTTGTAAATTTTACTATGAACACATTGTTTTTTCAGTCCATTCGAAACATATAGTGGGGTAGAAAGTACAGATACCTGCTCTCAAATATAATGAAGTAAAGTAAAAAGTTCCCAACGGCCATCTTGACACCAGCTTCTCAGTTGTTGCTTATAGAACAACATATGTACAGGAAAAACTGTTTTAACAAAGCAACTCTAATTTATTGATTTGTACTGCTACTTCCTTATTATTGTAGGCTCCCTCTGTAGGCACCCTCTGTAGGCTCCCCTTGTAGGGTGCCTCAGTAGGTTCCCTTTGTAGGGTCCCTCTGTAGGGTCCCGCTGTAGGGTCCCTCTGTAGGTTCCATTTGTAGGGTCCCTCAGTAGCTTCCCTTTGTAGATTCTATTTTGTAGGGTCTCTGTAGGGTTCCTCTGTAGGTCCCTCCGTATGGTTCCTCTGTAGGTTCCCTCAGTAGGTTCCATCTGTAGGCTCCCTTTGTAGGGTCCCTCTGTATGGTCCCTTAGTCGGGTCCCTCTGTAGGTTCCATTTGGAGGGTCCCTCTGTAGGTCCCTCAGTAGCTTCCCTTTGGAGATTCTATTTTGTAGGGTCCCTCAGTAGGTTCCCTGTGTATGTTTCCTCTGTAGGTTCCCTCAGTAGGTTTCCTCTGTCGGCTCCCTTAGTAGGGTCCCTCTGTAGGTTCCATTTGTAGGGTCCCTCTGTAAGGTCCCCCTGTAGGGTTCCTCTGTAGGGTCCCTCTGTAGACTGCCTCTGTAGGCTCCCTTTGTAGGGTCCCTCAGTAGGGTCCCTCAGTAGCTTCCATTTGTAGGCTTCCTTTGTAGGGTCCCTCTGTAGGGTCTCTCTGTAGCATCCTTCTGTAGAGTCCCTCTGTAGACCCTCCCTGTATGCGCCCTTTGTAGGATTCTTCAGTAGGTTCCCTTTGTATGGTCTCTCTGTAGGGTCCCTTTGTATGGTCCCTCAGTAAGGTTCCCTTTGTAGGGTTCCTCTGTAGAGTCCATCTGTAGGCTCTATTTATAGGGTCCCTCTGTAGAATCCCTTTGTAGGGTCCCTCAGTAGCTTCCCTCTGTATATTCCCTCAGTAGGGTTCCTCAGTAGGTTCCCTTTGTAGCCTTCCTTTGTAGGCTCCCTTTGGAGACTCCCTCTGTAAAGTCCCTCTTTAGGTTCCCTCTTTAGGTTCCCTCCGTAGAGGTCTCATAAGGTCAAGCTGTTCTAGTTTTATCGGATCTTCATTTGTGTCAAGTATTGAGCAATTCTCCATCATTATGTTAACAAGGACCCCCCATACGTGATGTCAATGGATGCGATCGTTACTGTAGATTGGTATTGATTGTTAGCTCGTTTCCTTGCTCTCCAAGCTAATTGTGCGTGTAAATTAGTTATTGTTGTTGTACAGTATAAACACAAAAGCTACATTATGCACCGATGTTGTCAAGATACTACAATTTCAAACTCTAAGGGGGTGCAAAGGAAAAGGCTCAGTACTCCCAAATCTTTTTTTTTTCTATACCACAATTATAATAACAGTTTTTAAACTATATAATTACATTTTAACTAAGAATAATAGCTGTTTCTTTAATATTATGTGGTCTAGAAGAGTTCTCATATAGGTCATGATCATTCTAAACTTATTCAGGAAATGTACAGCTTTGTGATTTTTTTTTAAGGCAGAGTATTTGTTTTTTATTGTCTAAAAAAACATGGAAAACAGATCTAGTTCACTGTAAACGGTTTGCAGTCGTCCAAAGTGATTCCTCTCTTACCAAATGTGCTCCAAGTGTTTTAATTATTCACCATGATGAGTTTATGAGTGCTTTTTCAAACTCAGAGACAAGTGGGGAAAGACTATCATGCTAACCACACACTTTCTGATTATGAAACAATAAAATGTTTTCTAAATAGACACACACAACATGCAGCAGACTTATTTTAACCTCAAGAGCTGCTTATACAATGTGTCTGTACTGGGGCGAGACAATTTTGTTGAAATACATAAGAAAAAAAATAATCAAACATATTTTTTTATTTATTATATTCAAAACAATATTATAATTTCTGATGTGATTAAAATTGAGGCACATTTTCCAGGATTCACATAAAATACAAAACCTGACAAGGATGCTTCCAAATGATTTCTGTGATCTAACCTTTACTAAAATAATAATAATCAAATCAAGTCATCAAATACACAATGAAAATGTCATTGTGATGCACGCTACATATAGTTTTAAATATAAGCAATGAATTAACAGTGCAGAACAATCACTCACTCTCACTGGCCTGCTCAAATCAGAGGATATGCCGCCCTCCAGTGGTGATCATGATGCACTGCAGTTTGTCTAACGCCTCCAAACAGCCTCAGTTTCAGCCTCCTGTTAGTGACAACATTTGCATCGATTTTTTCTAGATAATATTTGTTTTAAATTGGTCATCTCTCCATGGCAGAGGTCCAAATTTCGCAATTGTTACTGATACAAAGAAGAGCTGTCCCCTTCTAACAGTTCTAAACCTATGTATATATTATTATTTATATGTGTGTTGTTGTTTTTTTTTTACTTTTATTTATGCCAATTTGTCTCATAACTCTGCATTTATTAATTTATTTAGCTTCAATTAGAAATGTAGTTTAACAGTTGCAGATTTTATGGGCATTTAAACATACAATACGTCACGCTCAGTTGTAGGCTGCTAATCAAACTCGTACCATCTTGTGTTTGCCAGTGCTCTACATTAACTCTGTTGTTTATTTGTTTGTTAAGATCCCCATAAGCTATTGAAATATCAGTAGCTTTCTTCTTGAATACATAAACTTCTCACACACAGACACACAGACACACACACAATAACAAGACATGAAAGCTCATGTATAGGAAAGGTAATGAACAAAATGTGAAAATAAACCACAATTAAAACAGATATCAGTAACAATAATACATAAAGAAACTGTTTAAATTTTTTGTTGTTCTTTGATTACTTCTTTATGCTCTAAATAAATATTCAAAGATCCTATATTATTTGATTGACTACTTTGAGCTTTAAAGGTTGTATAGAGGATTTTCCAAGGAACGAGAAATCCAGCGACTGTTTGTCCTTTTTCAAATGTTGCGCATGTGTGAAACCACCCCCCCTCCCCTACAGCTCTCTACGTAGAAACGCCTCCTCCCGCCTCCTCTTTACGCCAGAAACAGGTTTGTTTACAGCCGGTGCGCTGCACATGACTTGTAAACAACTAACTACAGTGTTGGTTAGGCAAGGCGGAGAAGTGAGGAGCGGGGGGAGCGGGTGTGCGGACATTTCGTTAGCGGACGAGAAGTGAGGAGCAGGGAGAAGAGCGGAGCAGGGAGAGAGGAGAGGACAGAGGAGAGGGGAGCGGTGCGCGGAGATTCCGTGCCCGGAGAAGTGAGGAGCAGGGGGAAGAGCGGAACGGGCAGCGGGGACAGGAGCAGGAAAGGGGTGCAGAGAAGGTTGCGCGGAGATTCCGTGCGAATGAACTAGCTACAACACGCAGCAGCAAGCGGACTCTTTCTTTGCCTTGAAAATTACGTTTTCAGACATAGGATATCGCTTTCGTGTCCTGAAAAACGTTTGTCTCGCTCTTGGAAATAAAGTACGTTTTCATAATAAGCAGAAGTGACCTGTCCAGGAGTAATTTGGCGACCAGTGCGTCAGTCTTTAGACCCTTTGTCTGCTTCAGTCGCACCATCGCTGGAATGAATCTATAAGAATCACCTTAGTTTGGCTTCGCTGCTTTTCCCCTTGTCTTCTTCTTTCAGCAACCTCAAAAATGGACTTTCTTTTGTGGCTAACTGCTCCTGGATTCTTGTCACCATTGCAACAAACTTTGTGCTAACTGCGAGGAAGATATAGGTCAAAAAAAGCCGCTAAGAACTGTTGCGTTGGTGGAGTAAACAGCGTCTGTGCGGCTTGCGTCTGTGGACTACGTGACAGGCGTACGTAAACGTCTGTGCGGCTTGCGTCTGTGGACTGCGTGACAGGCGTACGTAAACCACGTACCGGCGGCGCGCAGGCAAGTCAGTTACGCTAGAAACGTAGGGAGATTGATTGACAGCCTGTCAGCTAACAGATAACGAGGCAGTGTCGTTATCTATTGGCAAATGTTTAGCTGGCCCCACCACGTCCAGAGTTTATGAATTTTTATTCTCTTTTTTTTGGTCATCATAATTACAAGGCTACTGCATCTCTATAATGTTATCATTGACAACTTGAAACAAAAAAAAATCCTCCATACAACCTTTAAGCCTTGTTATAATGTTGTTACCTCCTCAAAAACAGACCTGCAGTTGTGTTTTGTTTCATTTACACACGTTTGAGTAATCCTTTATTGTTACTTTTTATATTATTATTTCTGTTAAACTTAAATATGCAGGACAAAACAGTAAAACAATACTTTCTCTTAATAGAAAAGCATGTAGAAATTCAGATGGCTGACCAGGCTATAGGTGTTAGAAATACTGATTGATTTTTAGAAATGTTTTTTGTTTACATTTTTTCTTGTCTTATGCTTGAACCATTACCATCCCTAAAACCATCGCTAGCATCACACCAAACCAGTGCACGGTGAGGCTGTCTGCTCCGGCGAAGGTTATGTTTCTAGCTATGTCAAGCTTCTGTTCGCCCAGCTCATTTTCAAAACTCAACATGAGTGAACATGTATACAAACCGTGGGTTGGATCCTTTCTTAACCTGATGGTGCTAATAACGGTGAACTTTCCATTGTTGTTCTCTTTCACAGTTGTAGTGGCCCAGTAATACACGCTTTCATCATAATGCTGTTTCCATAAGACCATAATGGGCTTAGGGAAGACCTCTTCGAAAATGCAGGTTCCATTAGTTGAAGTCACTCTTACTTTACTATTACCAATACAATCTGAAAAATGCAAAAAGAGTAGTAGGTCAGATACTTTACCCTGATGGGTCACCTGTCAGTTATTGGTATACTCTGATAATCTTATATAACAAAAACAATTGTGACATTTCACGTCATATAAAGTCCTCTAGTTCATTTAGTCTTAATCAAGCTTATCTCAAGACCTGGAGATTCATCCCCAGGCTCCCAGATTACCCCATCGGCATTTAATGATAGGTCAAATACACAGGGTGAATTTCCCTATGGGGCAATAAAGTGTACGCAAACCAACTGTCAAAAAAAGTTGAAGTGTAGTTTTCTATGTAAGAATGAAGCTTAGAAGAGGCTTTCTTGTTGTGTTCACCAAGTTCCCCCTGGATGCTGACTGCCCTGCCACAGGATCTGCTGACCTACCTCACCAGTCCTCTAAAACTGTACTGACAAACAAAGGCAACTGACGAGCACAGTATATGCTTCTGTAACTAAACTAGAAAATTTCCTTGGTATCAATAAAGTATCTCTCTATTCAGAGAGAGAGTTCTTACAAAATCGTGTCAGAACTGAAGAACCCTTCTGGATGAGTGGCCCAGTGTATTCACTTTTCACTCCACTCAACAGTATTCTGTTTTCACATAGTACATATAGTGGTACTCACTTTGAACTCGAACAATGGTCTGGCCGTTTCTCGACCCTTGTTTAGAGCGTAGTTGGCAGTGGTAGGTCCCTTTGTGTTCGGGCTGGATATTGTAGATGGTCAGGGAATAGTTGTAGCTGTTGGTGGAGGTTTTGTTCATACACTGAATATCTGTTTGACTTGTTGGTTGGCCCCAGTTGCAAATATCTTTACTGTCCTTCCAACTAAATTCTGTGATATCTAGAGCTCCATTTGTGGTTACGTCACATCTTAGAGTGACATTTTCTCCGCAGGTTGTCACAATCGCAGGATTGGTGTGCATTTCAAGCATCTCTGAATACAAAAAAGAAACTTGGTTATGGTTACAATGATAGGAAAAATAAAAGAGACTGGGAATGGATCTTACCCACTGCACAGAGAGTAGAAAGGACACCCAAGAGTCCAAATAGGCCAAAAAGGTGAAACCTCATAGAAGCCATAGTTCTAAAATAAAATAAATAAAATAAAAATAAAATTGATAAAAAATACAATGATATAAAACATTAACATATATATCACAGGTACTAATTTAATACAGCCATTTAAGATTTTACCCAAAAATTTGTCTATTTTTTTATTTAAATTTTTTGGTGAAATTTTTAATTATTTGAACACAGACAGCAAATGTGACACCATAGATATCCTCAGAGGCGGTGCTACCATTAGGCAAAAGTAGGCGAGTGCCTAAGGCCCCGAAACCTGGAGGTGCCCCCAACAAATTGCCCTCAGTGCCACTAATGACCGAGGCCTCAGAGCAATTTAAGTTTCTCTCAATGACATTAAATGAGATTAGTTTATTTTTAAACAATAATCATAAGAAAAAAAATAATTATATGTAATGGATGTAAACAAAAATGTAATTGTAGTAGCAAAAAAATAAAACTTCTTTCAGCACTGACAATCCACTGTAAATAAAATAAATAGAGATGTGCATGTCTCAAGACCAATTGGGAAAAGCAGACAATAAATACATAAAAAAAAAAAGGTCCATTATAGTGAGGGCCCCAAACTCAAATTCGCCTTGCTGACTCCGCCACTGGATGTCCTAGTCAGTGTTCTAAACCTGTGGAGCGTGTTCTGACAGAACAAGGGCCTTGTCAGGACACAGCACATGAACATCTCTCATAAGAATCAATGCAATTAGATCTCCACAAAAAATCATGTGTCATTCACTTTTCCACAGATCTGAGAGTTTTTATCTACAGCCACTATGTATATCTTTAACACAATAGAGTTGGTTTGGATTCTTGATGTTAAGAAATAAGATTTTTGCTGCAACAAGTTTCACCATTAGAAATACATTCAGCAGTCTGCCCATCAATACAGATTTAAACAAATAATGTATGAATGAATGATTGAAATCAATTTTAACAATAGTTGGCTGACCCTTTTTTGCAATTTAAAAACCCTCATTACCAAAATAAATGTTTATTTTGTAGTGAACTATGTGTAATGATGTAAAACTATGCTCTGACCAAAACCTCCTGTTAAAGTTCCAGCTATATGTTTAATTTTGTTTCAGTCATGATATAAACTCACTCAAATAATAAATAAGATCTAAAATGCTGTAGTCCCCTTTGAATTGTAAGTTTTCAGCTGAGTTTAAAGTGCATTTTGTCCCCTATTTTTCAGGTATATGTACAGTATAAAATGTTGTCCATTTTTATACCTAAAATTACATAAAAAACATGAAATTATGTTAAACTTGTGCTACATTTTTATAATATTAATGGGAATTGAAGTTTTTTTCCTCCTCACCTGCAGGATGTCTTAAGTTAAATTTAACACTTTTTGAGAGTTAGTTTTAAAATCTTTACATAGAAAATACAGAATTACAACCTACCTGTCTTTGCCGGTTTGTGGTCTAATTCAGATGCAGTTGTTATAATACATGGAGTACTCTCTCTCTATATAATATACATTTTAGGGCAGGGCTTAAAGGTACTCTCTGTTTTTTCAAGAATTTAGCCTCAGACAAACCCAGCCCCTGTAAACTGGCTCGTGTGGATCTTGTTGAGTCTTGCACATTAAAAAAACACTGGTATGCAACTAAGGAAGATCCATCCATTCTCTTATAGCTTATCTGAGGCCAGGTCGCGGGGGCAACAGTCCAAGCAGGGACTCCCAGACTTCCTTCACCCTAGACACTTCCTCCAGCTCTTCCTGTGGGACGTAAAGGTGTTCCCAGCCCAGCCAAGAGACATAGTCCCTACAGCGTGTTCTGAGTCTTCCCTGGTGGGACTGTTTATTGAAATTTGTGGTCCTTAAAAAACACAATGGGTGATGAGGGTGCATTAAAGTTAAGTTATATGTGAGCTTGAAATTTCTGATACTTGATGAGACAAATACCACCAGGCCACCCCAATGAGAGGCATGAGTGAGTTTCCCACAAATGAGATATTAAGCTACTATAAGACTGGGTTCACTGAAGACACTGAGGTATGTTGTAATGAGGAGATGAGAGATGAGAGAGAATGAATCAGAAGTAGTATTTTGAAAGGAAATGGTAAGATTTTCAAGTGAGATGTAATCTTCTAGCAAATGCTAAGTTAAAGGTAAAGGTACACTTTATTGTCCTCATAGGGAAATTTGTCCTCTGCATTTTGACCCATCCTTCAGTGACACTAGGGCATCTCCTCAGGAGGGGATTTTGTAAACAAAAATTGTAAAGCAACTTATGCATTTTTATTATGTGTGTGAGAAACCAGGTGTGTTTGAAATCCCATTAAAGTCACTTTTCTTTACACTAGATTAAGAAATAGTGATTGATGATCTGTTTTTATTTGACAGTATGTCAACATGCTTTAATCACAGTGGATGTGTTCTGACCTGGCCAGGAATGTGACAGTGAGATGCCAAACCAATGAATGAGCTAAGACAGGGGTGCCCAAAACCTTTTACTCAACCAGTTTTCACCCCACAATGATTCTGGTTTCGAGTAATTTGAATTATAAGTAGGACTGGGTAATATCCATCTATTTATTTTCTTTTGCTTCATTTGGGGCCAGATTGCGGAGGCAGGAGTCTAAGTAGGGAGGCCCAAACTTCCCTTTCCACACTTCTTTATCCAACTCTTTCGGGTGATCCAAAGGCTTTCTCAGGCCAGCTGAGAGATATAATCCCTTCAGCATGTCCTGAGTCTTCCCCAGGCCTCCTCCCAGTGATATGTGCCAGGAACACCTCCCCAGTGAAACATCCAGGAAGCATCTGGGGCAGATGCCCAAGGCACCTCAGCTGCTCCATTTGATGTGGAGGAGCAGCAGCTCTACTCTGAGCTCCTCCCATGTGTCTGAGCTCCTTATCCTCTCTCTAAGGGACCACTACCCAGAAATATTTCTTGCACATCTGACAACATCCCTAGTCGAGGTCACCGGCTCTCCACCCACACTGCAGACAGCATTGATGAAGAACTGCTTCCTCCGGCCGAGGGCACCTTGGTGCCACGTGCACTGATGAATGACTTTGTGCTTGAACACTGTGTTTGTTATGGGCAAACTGAGTAGCACAGAAGCCCAGTAACACAACACCATTTGGGTTCAGATCAGGGAGGCCATTCCTTCTGATTACCCCTCTCCAGGTGTCACTGTTTTTGCCCTGGTGGGCATTGAAGTCCCCCCAGAAGAGCACAGCAGTGAGCGGGCTGCTCAATATGACCAAAATAATACATACAAATTGAAAAAGCGGAAATCAAGATAGTTTTTTCCTCATATTGATCAATCACAGTTTATTGTTTTTAAGTTTTAATCAGTGCCATTTGCCACAAAAAAAAGTGTAATTGTTTTCTACAAAGTCTGAACTCTGCTCCAAACCACATACTTTGACTGATAGGACCAGAGGTGGGTAGAGTAGCCAAAAATTGTTCTCAAGTAAGAGTAGTACTACCCATCTCTGCAGAGGACCGGCTGCAGACCTCTCTGTTAAAAAGACCCAAACTGATCACTGACGATTAGAAATAACTAAATCTTATCTTGATTTCACAATTGGGAATATTTCTAACATGTGATCTATAAGTGCCTGTTAGAACTGAGAGAACATGCAAAAGGAACAAGCCATGCCCAGACCGGTTTAGACACTTCAGGTAATATGAGTTTTATTACATTGTCAGAATTGAAGATACAACAATAACAATACATAACATTTGTGTAGTGCTTTTGAAGATACCCAAAGGTGCTTTACATAAGGAAGCAAATTAACAACAGAAACTTCTAGAATCACAAATATTTACAACATCTAAAATCATTGTTAAAAATAAATATAAATGAATATTCAAAAAGCATCTCAAGCACATAGTTACAGCATTTCAAATGTTCAAAATGACATCGGAATTTGACCGTGCCACATTTTTAACTGGTTTATTTTACACCACTTAAATTACACTGAATGAAAGCAACATCAATACAAGACTTTCTCTCAATAGAAAAACAGAATACAGGTAGAAATTCAGATGCGTGGCTAGGCTATAGGTCCTCGAATTGCTGATTGGAATTGATTTATTTATTCTTATTTTTTACACTTATGCTTTTACACTTTCTTGTCTTATGCTTGGACCATTAACATCCCTAAAACCATCGCTAGCATCACGCCAAGCCAGTGCGCGATGATGCTGTCTGCCCCGGAGAAGGATAAGGATCTAACTATCTGCGATATCGTTTGGTTCATCTCATTCTCAGTGGGCACCAAGAGGGAACATGTATACTGGCCTGTAAAGGCTGGGTTCTTCCTCAGCTTAATGGTGCTAACAACTGTGAACGATAAGCCGTCTGAGTTCTGTGTCACCTGAGTAGAGGACAAGGAATTAAGGTCATCTCCTCCCTGCGTCCAGTTGACCTTATCGGGCTTGGGGAAGACGTCTTGGAATCGGCAAGTTCCATTCGTTGAAGTCACTCCTGTTGTACTGTTGCCAACGCACTCTGAAAAATGCAAAAAGAGTCAAGAGTCAGATGCTGTCACTACATGTGCATTATTATTCATTTATTTATTTATTGCTCATTTTTATGCTATTATTTTGTTGGCATCAAAATTAACATAAATACATATTTCTACGATTATTTGCCTCATCTTTGCTGCATGAAAAAAAGGAACAGGAAGAAAATAAATCTTATAAACCCTGCTCCTTTCATAGATCAAAAAATTTAACATTCTTTTAGTAATCGTTCTCCACACCAAAAATCAAACTAAGTCACCGATCCGTAAGCCATATGCGTGTAACAATATCTCTCTTGAGCTTTCATTAACTTTAAACATTTTACTTAGTCACATAGTCTGTCATTATTTTATCTTGTATATATACATGTGCATCAGGAAAACTGGATAACTGGCTGAAGAATTTTTCACGTAAGCGTTGGAACTACGAATAAGCCATGTTATAATGTTGTTATCTCCTCAAAAATATTCCTTGAGTTGCCTTTTGTTTCAAAGCTCCAAAACTCAAAATGTTCGGTTCTACCTTGTCATGTCATGAAGTGGTAGTTTTCAAATTAAAAGCTACACTATCGGTCAAAAGTTTTGGAACACCACACTTTTTTTTCCCATTTTCTACTATTTACTGTTGACCAAAACATATTCTAAACTTTTGATTCATGAAAGTGTCCACCTTTGGCAGATATAACAGCTGAACACACTCGTTGCTCGTTCTTTTTACAATAGAAATCAAATATTCTTCAGAAAGTTCTTCCCAAGTCTGTTGCAGAAGTTCCCATAAATATGTGGCACTTGTAGGTTTTTTGGCTTTTACTCTTCTGTTTAGTTCATCCCAAACCAGCTCAATGGGGTTTTAATCTGGACACTGCGCTGGACACTCCATGTTTTTAAGCTTAACATGTTTTTTTCCTGAGGTAGTTTTGTCAGAGCTCGGACTTGTGTTTTGTATCTTTTTATCTTTTTTTTTAAACCTCTGGCTGTTCAGTATTTACCTTTGTACCATTTCAAGCTCTTCACTGGACTTGCACGACTTGAATTACAATAAATAACTGGAAAATTGTGTTCTAAAACTTTTGACTGGTAGTGTACATTTTATCTTTTGTTCAGTAGAGGTCCGAAATTTAGGACTGAAATCATCTAAATGATTCTAGTGAAGGTGTAAGGAGTTTAAAAACACTTCTTAATGACATCACAAGTTGGAATAGACTATTTTCAGTTTGAGAAGAACAACAAAACACAACTCCAGGTATGTTTTTGATGAGGATACAACATTATAACATAGATAAAAAATGTGTGTAATATGGGCCCTTTAAGGCATTGTTTCCCAAAGACTGGGTCGCAACCCTCAGATGGGTCGCAAGAGATTTTTTTTTGGGGTCGCCTGATATGTGCCTGATCTGCTGTCATGTTCTCCTCCTGCACCTGGACTGGAACGCTCTACAAAACTCAGACAAGCCCACCTATCTCATTAGAAAAGTTGAAATGTTTAGACATGTTTTGTATAATGTCTAATCTTTTAGTAATCATTGTATTGGCTATTTTGTCCCAATATTGCTGGTTCAATTAATTGTTGAAAAGAAAAAGAAAGGAGCTACATTTCATGCCCAATAGGCGACTTATGGATTCTTTTATTGCTGGTTCAATGTCTGTTTTTCATTGTTTAAAACTTGAGTAATACTAATACTACAGAGAGACACGATCACTCAGTCAGCAATAAAATATCCTCATTAATGTTCAATAATGCTCAAATCCAGCTTTATTTTGTGATTAAAAAATAATGTCTATTGACTTGGGTCACGAAGGTTTGTGACTTTTAAAATATGGGTCGTCAGAAAAAAAGTTTGGGAAACACTGTCGTAAATCGAATCTCAAATATCCCCAAAACTGAAGAAGCCAATACATCCTCAGACACCTGCTCTAGACAGCCCGATTTATATTACTGTAGGTGCAGATTAGCTGAGGTGTTTGGACCTTTGGACGTCACCCATGCACCTTTTTGGAGTGGTCTGATGGTCTGAGGTTTTGGGGCATAGATGATTTAAATTTAAATTATTGTACTGGGATTTCCCCATCCATCTCTCTCGTCTAAGTTGCCTCTTCAGTAAGACCGTGCCCTAAATATTTGTCTAAAGGGCGGAGTTAACCAAAACTAACACACCCTACTTCTTTACAGTAAGGTGTATCTGTTATTAATTAATACCCTTGAACTTCCTGCTGTGAAGTGTTTCCTGAGTCATATTTGACATAGTTATTCCTTCCTACTGCGTCATCTCGAGTTATGATCATACTCTGATAATCCCTGTTACATTCTTTATTTTAAAACAAAGACAGGCGTGACATTTTACATCGCTTAACGTCATCTGGCTAAGGTCTGACCAAGACCTGGAGATGGGTCCCAACAATGGGTCAAATACACAGGGTGATTTTCACTATGGTGACAATAAAGTTTACTAACCGACTGTGCAACAACAGCTAGGGTGGGATAGTTTGGGTGTAGTTTTCAATTTAAGAATGAGGCTTAGGAGAGGCTTTCCCTGTTGTGTTCACCTGACTCACCCTGGACACCGCTGTGATGCTGCAGGACACGTATGTTTCTACAACTAAACGTGAAATTTACATTGGTATCAATAAAGTATCGCTCTTCCTTCAGGTAGATTTAAAGCAGTTCTTTCAGAGTCAGAAGCCTCTTGCATGAATGACCAAATCTATTCACTTTTCACTCCACTTGACATCATTCTGTTTTCACATATTGCGTATTGTGGTACTCACTTTGAACTCGAACGATGGTCTGGCCGTTTCTCACCGGCCCACTTTTTTGGCGTACTTGGCAGTGGTAGGTTGCTTTGTGTTTGGGCTGGATGTTGTAGATGGTCAGGGAATAGTTGTAGGAAGTGAAGTTTGTGGCGGTTGTGTTCATACACTGAATATCTGTTAGATTTGATGGTGTGCCCCAGCTGCAAATATCTTTATTGTCCTTCCAGGTAAATTCTGTGATCTCAGTAGGACCATCTGTGATTGCGTCGCATGTTAGAGTGACATTTTCTCCGCAGGTTGCCAAAATTTTAGGAATGGTGCGCACTTCAAGCACAGCTGGATACAAAAAAGAAATGTTACTTGGTTATTATAACGATAATATAAAAAAAAAAAGAAAAATAAAAGAAAATGGAAATGGATCTTACCCGCTGCACTGAGAGTAGAAAGGAGACCTACGATTCCAAATAGGCCCAAAAGTTGAAACCTCATAGAAGCCATGGCTTTTACCTGCACCACAACAAACAACAATTGTAAAAATAAAATTACAGAACTTTTTTTTTTTTTCTCGCCGCATGTAGGTCTGCAATATACAGTTCTGACACATGGGGGAGCTAGTGAGTCAGCGAATCCTATCTGCCTGGCCAACAAGTGTTCCTACAGCTAAAGTTGAGAAATGCTTGCTTGGTTGTCTAAAAAGAAGGGTGATAAATCAGCAAAGGTCAGAGCACTTCAGGATACTTATAGATATATACATTTTATTGCTGGGTCAATTACTGAGCAACACTAACTGTTCAGAGACACGATCACTCAGTCAACAATAAAATGTCCTCATTAATGTTCAATAATGGTCAAATCCACTTTTATTTTGTGATTTACGAATAATGTCTATTGACTTGGGTTGTGAAGGTTTGTGACTTTTAAAATATGGGTCCCCAGAAAAAACTTTGGGAAAACTGCCATAGATATCCTGGTCAGTGTTCTAAGCCAATGGAGCGTGTTGTGGCAGAACAAGCTCCACGACAAACGAGCAGCTCCCATAAGAATCAATGCATTTAGATCTCCACAAAAAAAATCATGTTTCATTCACTTTTCCACAAATTTGAGACTTTTTATCTACAGCCACTATGTATATCATTTTTTATACTATAGAGTTGGTTTGGATTTTTTATGTTAAGAAAAAATAACTTTACTTCAACAAGTTTCACCATTATTCACACATATTTACATTCAGTAGCTGTAATGTAAATAAAATGGCCAGAAAAGGAAAGTAAAATTTGCATCACTTTGACATAATGGTCATAATAATTGTTGCCTAACAACAGTTACATATGTAAATAAAACAATAGCTGTAAATTATAATTAGACTAATAAAAATAAATGACAACACTTTTATTTTGTTAAATGACGATGTTTAAACTGCCAGAAAAAATGTCTTCCTTGTGCATAATTGCTCCTGTATTTTGGATAGGATTTTGATGTTGATGAAATATATGAAGAGTTTTCTGTTTGGAGAATTTTCCTCTTTACTGATATAAAACTCTGCTAAATATTTACCATGGGTCCTATCTCACCAAACCAAGTCAAAATGAGAAACATAAAAACCTGTCATATACACTTTAAGACACAACACGTCATGTGGGGTTTTCTGAAGTGTGTTTTTCTCACGCTCTGACCAAATCCCTCAATTAAAGTTTCAGCAACATGCACCATTCCAGGTCACTCACTCAAATACTAAATAAAACCTCAATTGGTGTTAGAATCGTAAGGTATGATCTGATGTTTTTGTCAGAATTTAGTAATTCCTGTTCTTGTTCTTACATCTTCTCTACTTTTTGCAATGTGTGGTTTGGTAATTATTTAAGCCTGTCTGAGCAAAAAGAATATTGTTTCCTCATTCTTTTCTGTAATATGAGTGGTCAGAACATTAAACTCACCATAGCACGATAAGGGAACATGAACTTTAATATCTAAACCAAATTCACAAGTCTCATTTACCTTGCTGTAACCAATATTCAGAATTATGTACATGGTGCTCTGGTCCAAAAAACTTTTTGGCTTTTTGACTAAACATAATCTCAACATAAAAAGGTTTAAAAAAAATATATATATTAAATATGCATTTTTCCCCCATTTGTCAGATGTATGTACAATATTGCAAATATTGATGGAAAGTTTCTAAGTTATATCTCTAAATTGAAGCCTTCTTCCTTCTCCCCTGTAGTATCTCACAAGATAAATTCAACACTTTTTGAGACTTGTTTTAAAATCTTCACAAAGAGCATACAAGATAACAACTCACCTGTCTTTGCTGGTGGCTTGGTCCAATTGAGATGCAGGTGTCGCGTTTCAGGGAGTACTATGGAGTGACTCTTTTATGGGCAGGGCTAAGAAAGGTACAGTCAAGCCTCAGACAACCCCAGCCCCTATAAACTGGCTTGGGTGGATCGTGTTGAGTCTTGCGCATAAAAAAAAAACACAGTGCGTCATTGTTTCCGACTAAAAGTAAGCAAGATAAGCAGCCAAAAGAATGATAATTGCTATTTGAGAACATTTACGATCTCCAAAAATAAATGATCACCTAAACAGATGACATAAATAGAGTGCATATGACAGGTTTTCATTTTTTTCTAATCATGACGTAGTTTGCTTGGATAGTACCTACGGTAAATATTTGTCATAGTTTCACATAGTCATATGGCAGTTTGTGGAAAATTACGAGATAAAAAAATATATATCCAGGATGTGGGAGCAGTGGAGAGGTTCTCAGAATGGGCGTGTTTTGTTGTCTCAAAAAATACCACTATGACAAACTTGTAATTCCACAACTTTTGGTTCCGTGAAGGTTCAATTCTTTGTGTGTATATTATGTTGTAATGTCAATTGAACCCTGTTTAATTAGGTTTATGGTCATTGAATAGGGGCATTAAAAAAACACAATCACTGGTGAAGGTGTATTAAAAAGTTATATGTGAGCTTGCAAGTTCTGATTATTGATGAGACAAATAGTTTTACAGTTTTGAGTGAGTTTCCCACAAATGAGATATTATAAAGCTACTATAAGAGTGGGTTAACTAAAGTCATTGAAGTATGTTGTAAGGTATGTTGAAAGGAGATCAGATAGTAGTATTTTGAGAGGATTTAGTAAGAATTTCCAGTGAGATGTAATCTGCTAGCAGATGCTGGTAAAGGTACACTCGTCCTTCTGAATTTTCACCCATCCTTCAATGTCAGTGGGGCATTTCCTCAGCAGGGGACCCTTCTCCTAGTCAGGTTGTGCCACCTAGTGCCTCCGCTCAATTTCGTTTCTCCCCAGCGACTAGGTCAGGAATCAGAATACACTAGATGGTTCGCAAAACCCCCGGAAGTGCGAGTTTGGGCACCAGCCAAACTCCGATGAGCCATATATTCTGTGTTGTCAATGATTCCCGAGATCCCGAGAATTAAAGCCGGAATAAAGAGAATGTTTGGTGAATTTTATCGGCATGCAACATGCAAATACCACACAGAAAGGCCCAGGCGACTCTGGGATCGAACCAGGAATCTTCTTGCGCCTGAGTACATTTGTCTTGGTCAGCAGTTATTTAGTGAGTGTATCCTTGTACACCAAGTTTTGTGATTTAAAATTTGTAGTGATGTAGTGAACTGGAAATGTATTACCAATTATTTAACTATTTATTTAACATTATTTAGTTTTTTTAATTGGAAAAATGTTGGTTGCGTTAAGGACATTTAGATGCATTTCCTTATATGATTCCCCGTACATGTTAACTGTGTGTTTTTCCGTTTCAGTGCATCACACCTACATTTGCTTGCTCTTCTAATTGGCATGCACCGATGCACTGGTAAAATAACAGGTGTGTCAGTAAGTCAATGTAACCACTTGAATAAAAACACAAGCCTTAGATAACGCCTTAGATCTTCAATCATGTGGGGAGCCAATGGCCAGTGGTTGTGTCCTCAGGCAAGACACCAAAACTGCCGAGTACAAATGTGGTGGTCAGATTGGCTGATGGTGCAGATTGGCAGCCTTAGTTTACCCCAGGGCACCTGTGGCTACAATAGTACAGTGTCTAACCATCACAGAGTTTGGAGTGAATGATTAATGCATGAGATTGTAAAGCGACTTATACTTTACTATACGTGAGAAACTAGGTGTGTTTGAAATCCCATTGAAACGCTTTACTTTTCTTGATACCAGACTGAGAATTAGTGAGTGATGTTTTTATTTGGCAGTATGTCAACATGCTCTAATCACAGCAGATATGTTCTGACCTGAACTGGAATGTGACAGTTAGATGCCAAACCGATGAATGCTCTAAGATATTATCAAGTCCTGTTGAACTAATTAGCTATTGTTTTTTCAAGTGTAGTTTTATTAGGCTGAAAATATGAATCTCCACATACAAGAATGAACTTGTTTTATTTTTTATTTTTAATACACTTTTTACATGTCCATAAGTTTTCTCAGCGTTCCAGAAAAGCTACTTTTTAACTCCACAATAATTCTGGTTTGGAGACATTTTAATTATAAGTTGGGCTGGGCAATAGGACCAAAACGAGTAACGTTACTTCAAAATATTACTCAAGTAGTGGTCTGAAGCGTAACTTAACTAAGCGTAACTGTTGGAAAGTAATGCCTGATTTATAATTTCATTTGTAACTAGAAGAAAGAGAAAACATTAAATAATGCACAAAGTCTGATATTTACAAAGGAGAGACCAAAAATTTGAAAAACTAAATCATAATGGAGTAAAATATTCGACTATAAAAGTGCAATTTCTTTAAAAAAAAGTTTCAAACTGATCATTGACAATTAGAAATAACTAAATCTTTATCTCAATTAAATATTATTATTATTATTGCACAGTTCAAATTATAAATAAAATCTAGATTATCAAACGACTTTGGTTTCATAATAGGAAATATTTGTAACATGAGGTCTGTAAGTGCCAGTTAGAATAAAGAGAACATGCAAAAAGGGAACAAGCCATGCCCAAACCGGTTTAGACTCTTCAGATAATATTACAAAATTACAGTAACACTATGTAGGAAATGAATAAAATTTATTTACTTTGAAAGAGCAATAAAGAATCACCTTGTCATCATTGAAGATATTCTTATAATAACAATACATAACATTTGTATAGTGTTTTTTTTGAATATATATATATACACAAAGGTGCTTTACTTAAGGAGACAAACATCCAACACACAAACCACAGAAATATCTAGAATCAGATCAACAGAAGTCTTGATCAACATAATGAAAATCAATGGTAAATAGGAGTGGCCCCAGCACACACCCCTGAGGCACTCCCTTCATCATGAACCAATTTTCTGGACATCCTAATTATTTCCTGTTTTATCATGTGGTCATTATAGTTCAGACAGCTCACAGAATTCAATGAGTTACTGTTTTTTGTTCCGGTAATTATGACGTTATTAAGTTGAAATGCAACAAATCCAGTAATTATGTGTGTCACGAGATGAGCTAGCAAGCTTTTAATAACTGCTTGTGTCGTTTTGTTTTGACGATACGTTCATTATTTATTTGTAGACTTATGAATACAATTTAAAGCACAAGTAATACTTTATGTTACTTTTCAAGTCGTTTACCTAATTTTTACACTTTAAAGTCTTTTTTTTTTGCTCTTTAATGAATTCTCACCAGCTAATGAAGCCATCACCGTGCAAGGTTTTGGGGGGCATGGTAAATGGTCACATTTTTCTATAGCGCTTTTCCACCTTCAAGGCACTCAAAGCACTTTACAACAAGGAACCACTTACCCATTCACACACCAGTGTACGCAGACACTGTGGGCAAGGTGGGTTAAGTGTCTTGCCCAAGAACACATCTGTGGGAGCTGGAATCACACCAGCCAACCTGTGGGTCAGTGGATCTGACTGCTCAACCAGTGATGTTTATGTCGAGAGCTGGATTCAAACCACAAACCTTCAGATCAGTGGGCAAATGCTCTACCAACTGAGCTACTGCCGCCCCAATTCATCACAATCATCCATCGCAATTTTATAAACCAAAATATTCAAAGTGGCAGATTGATATTTTTTTCTGATTTTCTGATTTTTGAAAGAACAAGACTACAGCAACTTGAAACAATCAATTAGTCTAATTTTCACATTTGAAACTTTAAAAGCAACCATGGTTGTCCAAAGTGCTTGACAGGTTTATTATCCCAAAAATACACAAAATTATAAAAATACAACAAAGTCATGCATCAGTGTTCAAAAGTAGACTCTGGTGTCTGCTCAAACAGTATCAAATGTCAATGAATAAAAATAAGTTTTCTTTAAGTGTTTGGTGTTTTAAAATGCTCAAGATTGATGCTGCTGATGTGAGGAGGGAGACTGAGAAACACCAATTCCTGCGAGAGAAGACCAGTTTGAACCAGTTTTGTACATAATTTCATCTTGAATCAACTAAAATAAAGTGTAAAAATAAAACACCTCTGTGTGTTCTTAAGCTAAATCAGGATAACCCTACAAAGTGTTATCCATTTACTCTCAAAGTGTTATTATAACTCTTGATTTTGGGATTAAACAGGAACTTTGGTCCAGTGCTACTTAATCAACATTTCAAAAAATGTGAAATTCACTCTAGAACAAATTGCACTCATATAAATCCTGAGAAAAAAAGTGGATTGTTAAAATTGACCCTCACAGAATAAATTTTAATACTCCACTTTACTGTGCGCCTACATCAGCTGTGAGCAGACCTCAGGGATCTGGCAGGTGTGTGCAGACGGAGCAGCTCAGACAAGAAGAATGGGGCAGTGCCTTTTTAACATTTGAGCACCATCATTAAAGTCTCAGAATTAAGTCTAAAATGGACTGGAAGCCAAAGGAGATCAGGTAAAACAGGTTACATGCTGGCCCGTTTACGGTTACTGTTAAATACTTTCCATTTCACTGAATGGTTCACCCTGTGCTGTGATTTCACTGAATCAGACTAGTATCATTTCTCTGTATGGAACAGAAAAAAACACAGAGTACAGCAGTTGATGTCCAGGTTACTTGAACCTCTGATTGGGAACCACTGCTTTTCAGATGCAAATTTAAGACTTTTGGACCATAAACTGTATATATAAATGCCGCCATGTTCCAAAGTTCACATGTGGGCACCGGGTCCTTCTGACTCTGGCTCATATTGACGTATATTGGAATATCGTGGCCCCTCTCTCTGTAACTGCTGCAGCGAGCCTCATTATTTTGGTCTTAAAATGACAAGGCTCTACATGATCCTGGTATTTTTTTGTTTGTTTGTTTGTTAAAAAAAATACTATTCATAATGTAGAGCCTGGTTCCAAATTCACTCCTGTAACCTTTAGCTTCGCGAGCTTTGTTTGACTGGAGCTGAACACTATCGGTGGCGTGACTCTCACCTAATCTACTTTGGCTACGTTTACACATAGCCAGGTATGCTGAAAAAATTCCCTCCCTTAGTTTTCCAAAATAACTTTGTGCAGACAGTATTGTTTTCAAAAAAAGTTTTTGTTTACATCAACCCGCATAAATACAACATTGAGCGGTGTCCTAACTACACCAAGCCTCTGGGCGGCACCTGGATTAGATTCAAACCTGTAGCATTTATTTCATTACAGTTGTAAGTATTGCTCAAAAATACCTTGAAAAACGTGCATTACTAAGCGGGCTCGTCTCTCCACAGATCTGTTAAAGAATTGGCAAAATTGCTGACCTCCGAGCCTCATTCGTCTCTGGTCATCGATTTGATCCATCAGCTGTGTGTGCAAATGCAAACATGTGAAAAGTGTTTGCACCAGAAGAAATGCGACTGCTGCTCTGAATGCTCCATGATCATAATAGCAAGAGATAAACATTGATTGCACTTTTGGCGCGTCAGCTCCTAAAACTCAGTTTATCTCACTTTACACACAAACGACAAACCGTAGTTTTCCAGAATCTCCAGTCTAGCTGGTGTTTTTAGAAAGATTAGTTTTCAGAGGTGAATTTGCTGTTTGCGTGTAAAAGATGGGTACAAACAAAGGGAAATGTTTCCATTTCTAAAAATACCCATATAAATGGGGCCTTCTTTATACAGTCTGTGTTTTGAACATTGCATTACATCAGTGATATCAGTGTTTAAAGATGCACTACTTTTCTGGTGGATGCTCTGCTATCTCCTTGTCTCCGCTGATGTATACTCTTGCCCTAAATGTTCCACAGTAGAGCATTAAACTGATTTGCATTTATTCAGCTTGGAAAAACATGCATATTGTGAGTGGGGTCAATTCTCCACGAATCTGACCTATAACTTCCATGGGAATATTTATGATTAATACCATTGTGTGGAACATTCTAAGCAAAATAACATTCGGTGCTTGACCCACCATCAGAAAAGTTACACAGTGCACCTTTAATTTATCAGCAATATTATCCACATCTGCTTCAAATTTTACTCAAGTTCTTGGTTATCTTTTGTCTACCTCTAATTTACATCTGAAATAGTCCTGGTTTAAATCTGGCGGTACCCTTGAAACCAAACCTTTTCTTAAATTGTTCTTGGCACGTTTGCAGTTAAACCAGTATCATCCCGAAAACCATCGCTAGCATCACGCCAAACCACTGTCCAATGACCTTGTGTCCATCTGAGAAGCTCAGAGATCTCACCCACTCCACCTTTGTCTCGTTCTTCTCGTTGTCCAGGTTGAGAAAGAGGGAGCAGTTATAATGGTACGGGATGGATGGGTCCTTTTTGAGCTTGAGCGTGCTAACTGCAGTGTAAAGTCCAGTTGTCTCGTTTAGCGTCACCGTCGTCTCTGCCAGATGGGTCAGGTTGTCATATCCCTGGTTCCAGAAGATTATGGGTTCGGGGTAGACATCTTTGAATGTGCACGAGCCGACAGTGGTAGACACACTGGTGCTACTGTTGCCAGCACAGTCTAAAAAAATACAGAGAAAAAAAATATGAATGAATGTAAGTAAGTAGGGAGGATACATGACATCATTTCTACAAGATGAGATGAGAGACAACATAGTACTTTAAAAAAAAAACAAGCATAATTTTACTCCATCTTGAATAATGTTTTTATTGCAATAACTGTACTCTTAAGTAAAATTTGGGGTTTCTCTTCCAAATTTGAGTAAGTCTACAAGTGACAAAAACATTTGTGTTTCTTGCATCGTTCCTTCAGATAGTTTTTCTCATTTGTGTGTCTATCCTTTGAAAATACCTCATTCTGTGCATTGTTAAATGTTTAATTTACTTTTTAGAAATCAGATACCCTTACTTGAGTAGAAGTTTTCCCAGATACATTATTAAAAATATATTTGGGAAAACACATTTTTAGTAACATTTGAACTAATATTATTTACCATATTTTTCAGACTATAAGTTGCACTTTTTTCATAGTTTGGGTGGTCCTGTGACTTATACTCTGGTGTGACTTATATGTTAAAATTTTCACACTGACAGCTGTGAGAGGCTCTAGGCTTGTGGGTCAGTATCTGCTGCTCCTATTACTCCTGTACCACTGTCACTTCACTCTACTGTGCATGTGTCCTGCAGAAGAAAGAGAAAGAGCCATTGTCCTGTCTGGTATCATGTCAATTGATTACACCATTGCTTTTGTACCACTGAAAATTTAAAATTTAAGCAAACATAAAGACAACTGAAACCATCCTGTCTGGATTCAGAATGGCCAGAATAATTCTAACTGGAACTGATGCTGAGTGTGACAACAGCTACACATGAGGAAGTGGAGCTCTGTTTACCTCTGCAGGTCACGGAGTTCCTCAGAAGTGACACTGAGGATGAAGAATTCAGTGGATTTAGTGATTTGGAGTGAGATGGAGAGTTTGGTAAACTTGTTCTGTTTTGTTGTTTATGTTATAATTATATGAAGAACTGTTCATATGTGATGTGTTGTTCTCTGTCCTATTGTTGTTACTATAACTTGCCTTTCAAGATGAAATGTCGGTTCCTGGTTGTAGTACTATAGCTGTGAGGGCTGTGTGGCTTTAGCTTGACTCATGTGTCTAAGATGAAAACTGAAAGATTCAATGTCCAAACTTACAGAATATTGATTATGAGGTTTAATTGTAGATGCAGCTTCCATAACTGAAGAATACACAAAATATCCTGATCACACAGTCAAAAAACTGTATGGCCTCAACCCCCTACAGCTTCCACACAAAGAATAATCAGGCCACAAAGGCCACCTGGCTATGAGCCACTAGGCTCCACCCCTAAGGCTCCACCCCAAACACCTTGAACCAATGTGGGTCAAAAATGGCCGTAACACTGGTATCTGATTTTATAATAAATTTCCCCCAAAAGTGCTACTTATAGTCCGGTGCAACTTATATATGTTTTTTCTTCTTCATTATACATTTTGGCGACTCTACCCACCTCTGAACGAGAGACAAGATTAGGTCAACAAGAACAACAAAACAAGATGACATTTTAATTCTAGATTTTATTGTCGTTGTCTCTGACTTTTGGACCTTGTGAAATGAGCTGTTTGTTTTTCTCATACCCATGGACACCATTTAAGAGGCTAAGGAGCTAGCTATGGACATTTGAGATGCTACAGGCTTACACCATATGTGGCAGCAAATGTAGCAGAAGATCTTCCAGAAGAAACATTTTGAAGGAATGAACCATTTTGTCAAAACACCAGAGCGGTGTAAGAACAAGGCCTTTCCTGTTGTGTTCACCTGCTCCCCCTGGACTCTGCTGTGATGCTGCAGGACACAGAGAGAGGACACTTTTTGACATTTGACGGACACACAAAGTTCACTGAGAAGCACAGTGGAAATGTTGCAGTAACAGCAACAGTGTGCTGTAGCAAAAATTGAACTTCCTTCGGGATCAAAAGATTATTGCTCTCTCTCTAAGGCACAAGACCCGATCCAATAATGCCCATAATTTACTATGATTAAACTGTGCAATTGGAACAATACGGCTTCTCAAGAGGAGTAACAAACCAGTTCTTAACTCTCTTATGTCTGACCAAACTAGACAAAAATGAGAGAGAAATGAGAAATTATTTTACTCATTTGTTTTGCAAAATCTTGTGTCATGAGAAATAAATTGAAATGGCAGCACATGCACATGTTGTTAGTGGTACTAAAATGTACATGCTGCCTCACCCAGAAATTAAACTCAGTAGGATCAGTTTTGGTGATAGGTTTGTTGTCATGGAGATGTTATTGCTTTGCTTGGAAACTTCCCCAATATAAATTTAAACATTGGCCACAGGGGAAGTAAATGTGGAGGGGTTTATTTTTTTCAAGGTATTACTTGTAAGATAGATATATTAAATTTCATATTTCATGGTGTTTCAACTTTCAGCTCAACAACCAGCTGTGTGGCTCGTTAATGTTTACGGGCATAAAAAAATTATTATTATATTTACTTTCTTTGGGCTCATTCTTTTCAGACGCTTGTGTTATACATTTTGATACAAAATATTTTGATAATTTTTATGATTTTAACTTTATAAAGGCCATTTGTTATAATAAAAGAATCACATTTGGTGTTTTTTTGTGACAAAAACACAATAGCCTGGTGCATGCATTGTTCTCTTCAGTGTAATGTTAAATACTCACATTTGTATGTGAGTAAGAATGGACATCTATAAAAATATTTAGTCCATTATTATATTTTACTTTCTTTGTGCTCATTCTTTCCAGCTAAAATGCACCATCAAACTGCAGCTTTTGACTTCCCTCCCAGTTAAACATTATACACGCATTTTTATATATGACAGTTTCTGACTGAGCTTCTGATGTGATCATATCACTTTTCATAGTATCACCAACTACTGGACGTCAGTGTTTATTGGCTTTTTTAAAATTGTATTCTTCTTGTCCAAAATGATTAATATTTATAGACCACTATTAATTAAGATGTGTTTTTTTGATACAAGTCCCCCCTTTTGGAAAGCCACATCATCGCGTTTAATGTTTATCAAGAAACTATAAATCCAATACTACAACAGCACACAGAGGTTACAGTGAGCAGAATCACTGTACATGTTTATTAGTGTATGTGCACATACATGTACATGTGTGTGCGTGTAAATAAGCCTATAGAAAAATGAGCATAAATAGCCTTTTGAAGTCCTTTAGATGGGGCAGCCGCAGAGGCTGGAGGTCATGTAAAGCTGTTTGCTGAGGCTCGGGGCAGTGTCTGGGACAGACCTGGTTTGTGAAGAGCAGGAAACACTGGGACTACAGCACAGGAGGGGTGAGGTTCAATTGTGTTACAAGAACATCTTTTTGAAGGGATGAGTCAATGCTTGTGCAAAAGACTAAGGCATTGTACTCCTACAATATGCTCTTCATACCACTCCTTTGTAGTATTATTTATCATTTGGGAAGTTAAAATGACTTAAATTTGACTTCATGTGCGGTTTAAAAGGTTTATTACCCAGCATTTCCTCATTGGTGTATATGTAAACTTATACTTCTCTTTAGTATTTCCATGTGAGGCTGTAGACACCAGGGCTGTAAGAGGAAGCCCACAGTGGTCTCCCAAACTCTGCTGGGGCTTAATGCTGCTTTCCTTATCCTTTGTATTCCTCTTGATCCCTCTTGGTATTAGTGAAATAAATGTCTTACACCACAAATGATCACAAGACACTGCCATCCTCACACATGCATGTGTACACACAACACACACACAACACACACACACACCCACCCATGCATATGTACACACACTAATCCATGCATGTGTACACACACTCACACCCACCCATGAATACATACTCACATGCACAAGTGATTTTGGTCACTGTTGGTACTTGTTTAACGTCTGTGTGTTGTTGTGTTGGGTTCATGGTTTCTTGATAAACACTAAACATGGATTTGTCGTAATAGATGTTTATGATGATGAATAATCTTGGGCAGGAAAAAACATCAAAAAAGCCCATTTGGAATAAACACTGATGGCTGGAGACACTACTGAGAGTGGACTGAGATGTCCCTATATGATTATAATGCAGTTTAAAGGAGAAAGTTGGTTTGTTTGGGTCTGGACATGCTCAAACCTGTGTCATCCGGTGGAGAGCAGTAAATATGATCACTTTCCAGTCAGAAGCTTAGTTAGAAACATTCATAGGTAAAAATGCATGTATTATGTTTCCATGGGGGTAAATCAAAAACTCTAGTTTGAATGGTACAAGCATGAGTATTTGTCTGTGCCAGTTATTGACCTGTACCAGACTCCAATTAAACAGCACAAAGAGATCTGATTTGCATTTACCATAATGAAAAAATAACAAACTATGTGTTTCTTTTGTCAACACAAAATTTGGTATTTTTACTTGTATGATAACAAATGGAATTTAAAGGATTAAAATCATTAAAAAAAAAGAAAGTTCTGAATATTTTATACAAAAATTTTGAGCAGACACATCTGAAAAGATTAAGCCCAAAGAAAATAAAATATAATAAAGAACATGATGACCACAAGTTCGAATCCAATTCCTCCCTTTTCCTTCCGATTTCTAACTCCTCACTGAGAGCTCCTTCACAACTGAGCACAGGTTTCTTCATCTGAGCGCTCAAAGCTTTGGCTTTCGGACACACTCTCGGGGGAGGCATGCCCCAGCCACAACTCACGCAGACGTCCAGAGTTTTAGATTTAACAACAATAAACTTTATTAGTCCCACAGCTGAAAAATACTTTTGCCAAGGTAGCACTAAATATATAAAATATTTAAAACACAAAGCATTTCAGAATCGTGGTGACATTAAGGACATATTGCACATTTGGGCCTATTAAATGATGTGGTTTATGGTCACAGAACACAAAGATAAAATGTGGGTGTTTTAAGTGCAGATATCCTTGCCAGTCAAAAGTGATTATTGCAGTGGTATTTTTCAGCGCCAGTAAAAGCGTATTTGACATCAGCACTGTTCTCTAAAAGTCTGTGAGGCAGTAATAAAGCCTGTTGGTGCATCTAAATAAACATGGAACTAAAGCTGATGGTGCAGGTTTCACGTGGGGCTGCTCTCCGCTGTAACGCTCTCGTGACCTCTCTGCGGGAACTCTCAAAATGAAAATAAGGGCGCATTTCATTTTTCTTTCCTCACTCCCTTCTCCTTGATTCCTCTAATCGATTTTGCAGGAAATTGGTGTGGAGACAGAGCGAGGAGAGAGGAACACAGGAGAGAGGGAGACACGAATGGGACAGGACTATACTAAACATTATTGTATATTATTATTTCAGGACACTTAAATCAAAGTCAGACCAACAACTTTATTTTAAGATAAATGTGTTTTTTAAATTAGTTTTAGTGTCAGATTCAAAAATGCCTTGCCACTGTCCGTGTACTTTTGTAGTTGCGACAATACAAACGCCTCACTGTGAGACAATTTTAACTTGAACTGATGTCCGTCTCTTGAACCCTCGCTCAGGTTTCCTCTGTGGTTTCCTTCCTTTGTCTCCTTTAAGCTTTGGGACACCACTTAATCTGGCACATTTGACTGACAGCTGAAAAATGGAGGAACGAGGAGAGGAATCAAGGAGAAAGAAGTGAGGAAAGGAGAGAAAGAGAAAGTGTGGAGGAGGAACTGGTTTCGGAAAGGGACAAGTATTAATCAGCGTGACCGCTAAAATAAACTTGGGTCCTCTATTTGCAGGTTAAGACACAACCCAGGTTCAGTTGTGATTGAAATACATTTTTAAACATACGTACAGTGCCTTTAATTCTATATTTACTTCTGTTTTATGAAATATTTTGAAAATTCTGTACTTACTTTGGACTCGAAGTATAGTCTTGCCATTCATCGTGCCTTCTTTGGAGCCTAGTTTGCAGTGGTACGTCCCCTTGTGCTTCGGCTGGATATTGAAGATGGTCAGGGAATAGTTGTAGATTTTTCCAGCAGGGTACGTATAAGATAGTCGTCTACATTCAAAATCAGTGCCGTTTTGGATTTTCTGTGTGTACTCGCAAATCTCTTTCTTCTCCATCCAGAGAAATCTTTTAATGTCAAGAGCACCTTTCGCAGTTATGTCACAGTTTAGAGTCAAATTCCATCCACACTGTGCCAGGACTTTAGGAACGGTGTACATTTCCATAGCATCTGAAAACAAAAAGTACTCATTTCAATTTTAGGTTTACAAAGCAGAAAGCAAATCTTTTGAAAGCAACAACATCGTACCTGCTTTACTCAGAGTCGAAAGTAGACATAAGATCCCAAATAAGCCACATTGAATCCTTACAGAAGCCATTGCTTATCCCTGCAGTAAATCAACATTACCAACTGTAACGTAAAGGTGTTGTTATATTCTACTTTCTCTCTTTTAGGGCGGGGGGAAACCAAGAGATTTCTCAAGACTTTAGCCTTAGAAATCCCGGCCAGTAAAAACAATGATGGGACATGCAGGTCTTCTGCAAGGCGAGACATGTCGTGGTATGCAAGTGCACACTTTACGGTGGCATCGTAAGTGTGCACGCAGGCTAAAGCATACTGACTACAAATGTGTATAGACGTTATAAAATGCTATTTGTTATAAATGTTATAGTAAGTAAATTAAATATTGTTTTTATTTATTTTGCAACTTGTAAGTTTTGGACAAATGATGCTGATCCTTCCTGATTTGAAGGACACAAAAGTGGTAAAAAATGTTTAAACTTATTAGTCTGTTTACATTTCCAAAGCTCAAAATGCTCTACTCCACCTTGTGATGTCATGTAGTGATAGTTTTCAAGTTAACAGCTACCTTTTTTTTTTTAACCTTTTGTTATATATATCTACTGAACTGCAAAAAAACTAAATCTAGCGAAGTTAAGATGACTTGAATTAAGAAAGTTTTTTCATGATTTGAGTCAATTTTACTTGACAAGTAAAATTATCTGCCAGTGGAATAAGATTTTTTGTACTTTAAATATGAAAATGCATCTTTCTACACTTAAAATAAGAAAAATGACAACTTTTTGCACTTAAAATAAGAAACAAAATTGAATGATGCTTGAATTAAGAAAAACACACTTATTCCATTGGTAGGTAATTTGACTTGTCAAGTTGAATCTACTCAAAATAAAGTAAAATGTGCTTCATTTAAGTCATTTTAACTCACCTAGATATTGTTTTTTCCAGTGTAGACAATTTCAGAGCTGAAATTATCCAAATGGTTCCAGTGAATGAGTATGGAGTTTTTAAAAACACAGTGGAGAACTTTCTGTATCGACATCACAAGGTGGAACAGAGTGTTTTCTGTCTGAGGGAAGAACTCAGCTTAAATAAGTAAGACTTGTGTTAAACATGTGTGAGTGAAACAAAACACAACCCCAGGTTTGATTGTTTTGATTGAAACAATATAACAGAGCAGAAAATAGCCGAATATTGGACCTTTAAGAGTAGGATTTCACAATTTTGGTCAAATATTGCAATGAGACTTGCAAAATATATATATTTTTTAAAACAAGACTAGGGGCATTTGCATATAAGAGGAGACTGAAACATGAATTGCGAAATTAATACAAGAATCCCATGAGTTTCAGAACATGTTTGATCACAGAAGTTACAGCTGCTACAGGCAGCTGCAAGATTATAATTGCCTAATATTTTCTGCTTTTGCAATGTTATAATTACAATTTAGCCTTTGATTGCATTATATTGTGCAGTTTTATTGAAGACATTTCCCCTGTTAAAAGATACAGTATTGTTATCTAAATGGCCCATCTATATTACGCTATTTGCTTATCTATGCTATCTATGTTGTTTTCGTTCATTCACTCATGTTTAACACACAAACCCTGAGTTCTTTTCTCAAAGTATGCCTTCAATTTGATGTTTTTTTATGTTTTTCGATGTCATTTTGATGTTTTCGTCCCTGGAATTGCCTCTTTACTGAACTTGAAAACTGCCACTTCATGACATCACAAGGTAGAACAGAGCATTTTGAGCTTTGCAGATAGACAGACTAATAATTAAGGGTTACTCAAACATGTGTGAATAAAATAGGCATGTTTTTGATGAAGTAACAACATTCGAACATAACTTAAAGCTCACAAGAGACAATTGTGCACCTTTAAATTGGCAAATTGAACCATATGATTAGAGATAAATGAATATGTGAGACCTTTCTTTATAACAGTATTGGGTGACAGTTCACCTACTTGGCAGTTTGAATACCGGGTGAGACCAGTGCATACTGTTGTATTTAGGGGTGTAATGGTACATGTATTTGTGCCGAACCATTTCGGTACGGAACGTTCAATTCGGTGCAATTTGCTCAATTTGTGTGTGTTTACATTCTGCCACTACACGGAAGGCTCGGCTCTTTAATATTCATGAGGGAACTCGTCCGTGATTGGGGTGGCAGTGTTTCCCACAACGATTTATAGTTAGGGCGGTCACCTTGACAACAATTGCCCCCTGCCTTGACTATGTCCCTCCGAACCTCATGAATCCTCGCAAAACTACGGTCGTTGCACCGTGGTCTTCACTTTTGCTTTTCGCCGGCACAAGGAATTTATTTTTTATAATATTTCATACATTTGTTGCTTATTTGGGAATATTTTATTTTATTTATTAGTATTACCAAGCAGCATTTTGCATTTATTCCATTTCCCGTTTGTATAATATTAAAACAAATTGTTGGTTTAATAAAAACACAAATAAACAATAAGAAAATGGTTTAGCATTTTGTTCCCATACTGTACTGAAAATGAACCAAACCGTGACCTCAAAACTGAGGTATGTACCAAACTGTGATTTTTGTGAACCGTTACACCCCTAGCTGTGCTGCCCTTGGGCAAGAAAGTGTGTTTAGTCCATATATGACTGTGGAATGTGAGGAACTGGTGTTGGGAGGTTCTTCCATCAGTCTGTCAGTCAACTATCAGTAGAAAATGATCATCATGGACAATAAATTAATTATGACAAGAGTGTATTACTTAAAGAGTTGTGTCAAGTCTTAAAAACGTGAACAGCTGAACTAGTTTTAAATGCTTAAAAGTTACTCTTCACTTACCTTATGCATTCTGAGTATTCTGAGTTTACAAGCAGCTTTTAGAGACCAGTGTGGAGCTTTACTTAGACTGTAAAACTAACAGCAGCTCACATGCAAACGTGAACTTCCTTTATCGCATTATGGGACAATAAAATGCTTTCTAATTAGATGCAAACAGTACACAGCTGACTAATTTTCACCTCAAGAGCTGCTCATACAAGACAAGACTAGTTTTGCTTAAATATATAGGGAAAAAAATGTGCAGTGGTCCTTTAAGTACACAGCTGTGCTTCTCAAACTATAGCGTAGACTTGTTTACACATGCTTCGGTGGTACTGATAAACTACTGTCTGTACGAAGCAGTGCATTCCTGTAGACTCCCCCCATGCAACTATGAATATAAGATAACAATGTTTTGAAACTGCTCTTGTGACACATGGTAAATTGCATGTTCTTATATCCTTCTCATTGAAATAACAGAGAGAGACTATTGATCCCAAGGGAAACAGGTGTGCCTACATCTGAGAACGTCAACAAACTGAGGCACTCAACCTCTTAAAACCAAAGCTTAAGTGTAATCCTACTGAAACACTGCTGTACTAGTACTACATGTAAGATTAAGCGTAAGAAAATATGGTCATCTGTTTTCATGATGGTTTAGCTGGCGAACATATCCAGCGTGGCATGCAGTTGTGTTTATTTTATTTATTTGGTTTATTTAGCAGGGGGCATTCATCAGTATTAACAACATGGTAACCCTAAAAACACAACAATAAGAATTATACAAAAAAGTGCAATTGTACATAACAGTTCAATTAAAGGTCGGTTTCTACGACGTGAAATCGACTGCTGAATGACCTCGCAGTGTTAGAATTTGTGCGTTCGACAGTAGGCGGGTACTTTTTATCATTTCACCAATCGCTGCTATTTGGTAGTCACGTATATAATATGCCGCTAACGAGACTAACTGGTATATTAAGCTTTTCCCAAATCCCATAGGAAGAAGGGCAATAACGTCTTTCCCTTTGATGAAATTCACCAAACATTTGCTCTTTGTTTAAATCCTCGATCTCGGGAATCATTGACAACACTGAATATATGGCTTATGTTATTAGGTTCTTTTTTTAGACCAAGAGTTTGTTTTCATACCTGACAGTTTCGACTGCTCACTAGCGGTCTTCCTCAGAGTGGTCACGTGACGTTACTGTGACGTGTCTGGTCAGCTCATTTAAGGTTTTGGCGCTGTCTTCCTACAGGTGGAGGCAGGACGACAGCGCCATCTGCAGTCCGACTTCCTCAGGACAGTATCCCAGGTGTGTGAGAGTAAAAAAAGCCCCCTCATCCCGGTTTATAGTCCCGTGGGCCCATTTCCGTATTTCGATTGCCTCTTTAATCCAGCGATGATGTTTGTTTTCCTCTGTCCCAGTGATTTTTGCTCCATCCCAATCCATAATGTGGTTCTCACTTTTACAGTGGTCAGAAATGGCCGATTTGAGTTGTTCCTGTTCTGGTCTTGGTCTGAAAAAAGGACCTAATAACATAAATTATCAGAAGACCAAATGAACCTCATCGGACTACTGAATATATGGCTTTTCGCTGATTGGCTGGTGCCCGAACTTGCACTTCCGGTGTTTTTGCGAACCCTCTATTGTATTTTGATTCCTGACCTACTCGCTGGAGAGAAATGAAATTGAGCGGAGGGACTAGGTGACGCCAGCCTGGGTATGAGAATACAGACAGACACTAACAACCATAACCAGAATGTACACAGTGAGAAATAACACAAACAGACTAGAGCACACAGACAGAAGACAAACTGTACGCTCGGATAGGAAGGGTGGGACACTAATGATCACAGTTGATGAGTTATTAGCCAGTTCTTAACATGTTTTTTTTTTTTTTATAGATTTTGAAGCTGTGATGGAAAAGGTGCTCTGGCTGAACACAATTTTCCTCAGGGGAACAGTGCAGTGTCCATGTTTGCCCCTTCTGATCCTGATGAACTAAGACAGTGGAGGAGATGACTAACCATGGTTGATTTTGTAAATGAGACAGAGGTTTGAATACTTGATGAGGTTTTCCCAGCTTAACAGGTTTGTGCTTTTGTAGAAGATTGCAGTGGTGATAGCTCAGGGGCTTTTTGGCCAATATTTGTGTTGTTTGTTTGTATAGTGATTCTGTTGGTTTTAGGGGGGGTTTGTTTGCCTGAGACCAAGTTGTTAAACAGTAAGTCATGTGTGATAGGACCACTGAATGTAAATTTTTGCAGAAAAAGGTAGG